ACTGACCGTAAACCCCCTTCCCTGTTCCCCCGCGCCGCTCAGGGGGAAGGAGATGGGGGAAAGGTGTTTTGCTTTTAAGATCTATTTGCTCATTCTTATTTCTCACTACTCCTCTCTGATTTGTTCTTTTAATAAATGTAATTTTTTCCCCAAAATCGAGTCTGTTTTGCCCGGGACAGTAAATGAAAATGATCTCCCTGTCCTTATCTCAAACCTTAAGCCGTTTGGAATATTTTCTCCCCCTGTCTGGTGGAGCAGGGGGAGTGAAAGAGCAGCTGTGTGGGTCTCTGGCTGCCGGCCAGGGTCAAACCACGACAGCAGAGGACAAGTATTTTTCACAAAATGAGCTGAATGTACTTACACTGAATAAAAGTTTTATGGAAAACATTTAAGTACGTAAAATAGGACATGATGAATCTGCACTACCTTTTAAGACAAGCTTTCTTCTACATTTCATCTAATTTGAACATGAACTGTGAACAGGATTATCCTACGTCTATGAAGTACTGATCTTCATAATTTTCATGGATCTCAACCAGTACTCTTAGGAAAATGGAAGAAGAATGGTAACTTAAGAGAGCTGCATTTAAGAAGGTTATTTAAAAGATGAGAAGATTTTTCAAACAGTGCCTCAAAAGCTTTTTTTAGTATGGTCTAACTCATTCTTGATTCTGCTTTGAAGTAACAAGGAAATTCCAAGTAAGAGTCAGTAAAAATTTCTTGGTTTGACTTCCTCTGCACTTTCTTGCACTACATTTACATGCACAAAATATTATTTGTAGTTTTTCGTCAAATTATTTAGATTCGCTTGTTGAATTTTGTTACTGGACAATACAGAGACATTTCAAAGAGAAACATTAGTATATCATACCTGAGACAATGTATGTTTCTGATAATACTCATGTGCCCTTCCTCACTGTAACAAAGTTGTCAATGGACTGCTAAACCCAGAAAATGCTTACGATGAAGTGAGGGAAGCAGTACTACAACCGTAAGAAAAAGGGGAAATCAGGGAGAAGGATACATTAAACCAATATGCTCAGACTCAGACAAGAGATTTCGAGGTAAAATTAGAGCTGATGCTCAAAGGCAAAAACATCGCACTTGTTTTCTTTCTTTGGGTTTTATGTTTTCTGTTGGGGTCATTATGGATTTTGTTTGCTGGTTTGTTTTTCATTTATATTCTTTGGCACTGTAGTGGCACCTCCTGAAAATATCACTGTTTTAGAGGACAGGTCCAAACCTGGCAGGCAAGAAGCTAAGTACACTTTAATAGAGGTGAAATTATAGGCTGAATGTAACAATAAAAGTAATAAAAGCTACTTGGTATTTCCATCCTCGTATTCGAAAGCTTTTTACAAAGGGAGTTTATCATTATCACTAGCATTTTAGAGATGGAAAAGTGAAATGTAATAAAGAGCACAAAGGAAGAAGGAAGGATGGACCTGGCCAGGGAAAGGCTTGTTCTGCAAGCTGACAAGACCAAAATATTCCAAAACAAATATAAAGGGGGAAACATCAGTCATTCACTTCAAATCAAGATCTTGTACTTCTCTCTGTTATCCCAACTGCAATAATGCGTAATCCACTTCAAAGGGATTATAAAGGAGTAAGAAAGTTCATACTAAAATAATTAGAACACTGATCTAAATCTGTTGTATGATCTTTGTCCATAGGAGATACGATATTAAGTTTTTAAAACTGCATTTTAATTATAGAGATGAACGGTGAACTAGGAATTTGTCACACACCATTTCTCTCCATTTATTTCAATGTAGTAATAATATTTTTTATATAGTTGCCACTGCTACTGCCATTATTAACCACAATAAAAAATTATCATGTGCCTGTATCTAACTAGGATTTAAAACAATCTGGTTTTGAGATCAAGTTTTTAAGCATTTTCCTTGTTCTGAAATAAATTTTGTTTCCCTGAAGCAGGTATATTTATAAAGTATCCCTTGCTCCTCCAATTTAAACACAAAACCCTGGCCGCAAATCAAATATTCAAGTTCTATTTCTCTTCCCCCCTCAAAAAAAAAAAAGAAAAAATAAGCAAAAAATCCACTAGAACAACAAAAAGGACAAAATTCCAAAGTTACAAAACTGAGGTATCAGACAGCTTGCCATTTTTTTTACCAAGGGCCTAGAAAGAAACTTCAAAGCAATAAGGACTTTGGTCGACACAGTATTCTGCAAGGTCATTCCACACAGAGGTTTACTGGGAACAGAAAGCCTCTCGCAGCCCCAGATGCACATAACATTTAGAACAGAGGAAGAACAAACCAGCCAATTTCAATTGCTAAAAAGCACACAAGAATATGAAAATGTCACCCAGCTGCACAGGGGTCCAGATTCAGAATATCCTTTTACGTGTTTAAACTGATAATTCTCCACATAGACATTTTGGTTTTCAGTTAAGCTAAATTGGGAAGCAATAATTGAGGGACATCTCAGCACAGCTGACATGCTTGAGTACTGATTTTGTTTTCTCTGTCATACAGACAATATAGTCTGTATAAGCTATCAGTTATTTTAGCTAAACTTGTCATATGTAATTTCCAAAGAACCTATTCTCATGCAACTTATAGTTCCCCCTATAGCCTCAAAACCTGCATTTATGTAGCATATAGGTCAATCTACAGCAGCCACCTACAGCACAGTGGCACCTACACATAGAACAAAACGTTCTCTTCCAACAGCCATATTTTAATTTTCACTTTTTCTCCAATGCGACTTTCAAGATACTCTAAATGCTACTCTGTTCTTGAAAAGCATACTCAGCATTACAGTTAAAATAAAGATGGATTTGAGGTAAGAAAACAAATCCAAGAAATGCCTACCTGAACCCACTGGAGATGAGCCAACACTAAGACTTTGTAAACTTCCATTCCTGAGCAAAGTTGGAGATTTTTGAAGACCAGAGCTTGTCACACTTCCTGCAGCAGATGCCACAGATGAAGTTGGGGAAGCAGAAGAAACTGAAAGATGGGAAATACTTTCTTGACTTTTATTTCCTTTGGGTCTACCAGGCCCATGTTTACTTTGCTTATTTCCTTTTCGTTTCTTCTCTGTTACAGTTTCTTCTTCTATTCCAGAAGTTTGAGCTCGTTTGTACGCTGTAGAAGTAAGGCTTGAATTACTTATGTCTCCAGGTGAGCTCTCAAAGCTTTTAGATTGGGAAACAGCTGATGATGAAGGGAGACCGATTAAGGAAGTGAAACAATTGACACCCCCCTCTTGACTCCCAGCCTCTCCCTTATGCACATCTTTGGTTGACGACGCCTGTTGAGAATGTGTGAAACTGTCACTTCGCAGATCTGTGTCTGTAAAACTCAAAAAATCCTGGGGAGACTGAACTGAACTTCCAGAAGATGACTTTATGCTCCCAGGTGTACCCAAAAAGCTTCCTAGAAAAAAAAATAAAAATGAAAAGTACTTTCTTTTTTTCTCTGCCATTGCGGAAACTTGAAAGATTAATATCTTAGAATATAAAACTTTACAGGGCAAGAACTTTATGAAAAGCATTACCAAGAGTAAAAGAATTTATTTTTAAGATAACTCATGGCTTCTCCTGCTGATCTTCACTCTGCTCAATGTAATTCTCAGATTCCAGATTTGAATTTGAGGCACAAACAAGGTGAAAATAAATAAAAGAAGAATAACAACTTTGCTGCTCAGGCAACTTTTGACATCCCTTGTGTTCCAAAGCCACAATAAACACCTGGTGCAAGTCAGAGCAGGGTTTTTTTAAACATACACGTATATAAAAAGAAGGCTGATAAAACCATGCTATGATCACATCTACTCTATGCCTGCAATCTTCCTCACCATTCTACCTAAATCAAGGGTCTGATACAGGTCAAAGGAACAGCAATTACACTTAATTTAACCTGGCTGAATAGGAGTTCCACAGAAGAGGTATTTTACAAAAGGACAGCAGAGCAAGTGGAGAAAAGTGCATGGAATTGACATTTTAAGACTTCTTTAGCAGCACTGTCAGAGAACCATAAAGATCTTTTGTGTAACAGGATTACATTGCTTGTGTAATACTTGAAATGCACTCACTTCATCACTTTGTTAGCGCATGCAAAGCAGAAAATGGAGCACACTTGGGAAATACAAATATCTACATTCATGGTAATCCAGTAATTTTATATGGGTAGCTGCATGTGGGTACTGTGTTTTAGAACTCAAAATCCATGATGATGCCTATCCTGTCAAGAAAATACTCCTAAAATACAACCTTAGGTATAAAACCGTCCTTTAAAAATTAGTGTTTTATCATTAGTACTCTATTAAACATTATTAAGAATTCCCTTTAAAATACGATTTACATTAATACAGCACTTTAAAAATCATAAAACATTGGTTTGTATTTTAAATAAGCTACTTCACTTAACATAGCTTTAAAGCAAATACATGCACATAGTACAGATATATTTTGCCAATTACAGTTAGCAAGATGTTTCTTTAGAAGTAGGAGTACAGAAGGCAATTTTCCAAATTTTGAGAATTTAAACAAGATATTAATTTTTGTCAACTAAAAAATTCAGAAAAACCTAAAGAATTCTAGACAATTTAAAAGTTTTTACTGCATAAATTCAAAGGAAGAGCAACATCATAAAGCAAAAAGGACAGTCAGCTACAACATACCACAGTGAAAATTATGGGAAAATAATTACTTTACAGAAGTTCTAGTTTGTTGGGTTTCAAAATAACACATTCTATTAAGTAATAAAATAGATTTTTAATCTTTCTTCAACTCTGACAAAGATGCCAGAATAAAATTTGCTTTTTCGAAGTGTCAACAGGGCATTTAGCATCTAGCAGATTTTAGCATGTTCAAAAGGTCAACCTTTTTGTATTACATGAAGTAAATAAACCGTATATACTTGTCTTCATCTTACATATTTCAATGACAAAAAAATAAAAGGTTTTTCACTTTGAAGAAAATGTCGTATTTCAAATGTCTGCATCTTGAAAAGTTATTTAGGGGCCACCACATCCTACACATTACGGAGTCCAATTCTGTTGTAATATGTACTAAAAAAATTAGTATTATTCCCTTAAAGAGCTAAGAAAAATCTCTAGACTCGAATTCGTACCTTAGATTTTACCCCAGACTAACCTTTCAGTACATAAAGAAACTCCTATCTTTCGCAGTTAGAGAATACTTGAACAGACTAAACAAAAGCATCAGTTTTGCCTTTTGGAGATGCACGACCTTCTTTTATCTTATGACAATGAACACCTCCTGAAAAAAGCTGTTTTTTCCCCTAAAGTGAAAGAACACTGTCATTACTGAGGATAACAAATGAACAACCTTTCAAAAGTTTAAAGTATGTAAGATTTCTAATTCATGCCAAAGCAGAAGTTGTGTTACAGCGTTAACAACTAATACCTTGCTGAAAAGGGCTAGCTGCAGTCACAGTCGTTCCTGGATTTCTTCCAGCACCAGGCTTTCTTCCCCTCTGACCTGAGCTGTGACCTGTAGATTTCTTCCCTTTGCTCTCTGACCCTCTAGCCTCTGAAGACTCTTTTCCACTTGAAACATGTGTAGAAACTTCCTGGAAATTTGCATTTGTAAATCGAGCTGTGGTATCTTCCAACCGCTTCAAGGAGCCTGACATGGAGTTGTTGCTAGTGCTCGTGTATGTCTAGCATTTTGGTAGGAGAGAAGAAATAAGAGAAAAGAAACAATTAGGTCACACAAAAATCTGTAACAGAAAAACTGTTTTAAAAAATCCTTTTCTTTCATGTAAACTTAGAAGCGTTTAAATACTAAAGTAACTGGCAACAGCAGGAGTTACATAAACTGAATTGTTAACATTTTCAGCAAACCATAGTAATGCATTAAAAAAACCCCTTTGTTTTCTGGGAAAAAGAAAGCCACTTAAGAATTTCAGCTTTGATTGAAATCTCTGCTTCGCTGAGGTCAATGGAATAATCTCAAAACTAGGGTTACACACTCTTTATGTTTTATCTAACCCAAATATTGATGCTCTATTGGTTAAAATTAAAAATTCAAAAGAAATAATGAGACTTTAAATGCTTTTCTGAAAACATAACTTTTATGCAGCTTATTTAGTCAAACTGGAAACGCTGTTTCATCAACATCAACTGATGAAGGCTTCAGAACCCAAGAACTTGCATTTTTAACACTTTACAGTCTCAAGAGTGAACCTAAAGCAACTCCAGCAAGCCTAACTTACGTCCCTTATGTCTCCACTGCCCACCATTACACCAGGATTCTCTGCTGTCCCAACCATCCCATTCAGACAGTTCCTTAAGTACCACCAACTACAGGTGACAGGAGATCTAGCCGGTCAGGACCAAGCTGGCCAAGCCAGGTGCAGGACTGACGGGCTGCCTCCCCCAAACCCGCTGCCCAACAGGAAGGAAAACACGTAAGTCCTGAAGCTCCCAGGGCAGATTTGTTCTTCAACCCCCATCCATCTTCAAGAATTTTGGCCGTTCTCCTACACCCATATACTCTTCACAGGGCTTTCAAAAATTTTACCTTTGGGCCAATTATTCTTCCATTGACTTTTGTGAGAGTTGCTCATATTGGCGAACAACAGTCAAAATAGACTCACAGAAAGTAAGTAGGTGGGCAGGGAAACTGTGTGCACAGTACCAGGAAACCACATAAAGGAATATAATTGCTTTCATTATTAAAAAAAAAAAAAAGAAGTTGGAGTTGTGATACCAGAATTTTAATATTAGAAGGAAAAAAATTAAATCAAAACTACAAAAAAAGGAAACAATATTCTATTATTTATACTGTAACCAGCTCATAAATAAACCTTCTTCAAGAAAAAATAGGGATCAAACCCTAGAAGCAACTCATCCGTCCAAACCAAGCTTAGCTTGTTTTTCATTTTTTCATCTTAAAATTGAGCATATATATATGTTTTCTCCTCCCTGACTAGGATGCTTGATGAATCTAGGCCTACAGCAGAATCTTTCTTTACATAGCTTCGTATAGCTAGTATAAAAAGTTTTCCATATTTTTCTGAAACAGGTAAAACTAGGGATTTTCTGAGTAACAGTGAAGAAAAATCATTTCAAGTTTGTTAAAATATAACGTTAAAAGCAATTTACCTTAAACTCATATTACTATAATGGTAAGTGTTTCTAATGAAGACTAAGCCAGTTCTCAGGTAAGTTTAGCAGTTAACTTTTTGAACTAATGCAAAGTCTATAAGTACGCTCAATATTCCGGGAACTGACATGTCGCTTGACCTGAGTGGTTCAAACTTGGGTCATTTGAACAAAGGGTTTCCAGACATGCAATAACCCAAGCCAAAAGTCAGGCTTTTTCTAGGATCCAGGATTTCTCCTCTTATCCAAACTCTTCTTTTCCTAATTCTGATCTCCCATCCAATTAATTGAATATTAATGGCAATTATAAATTCTTTATAGGTACTTACAATCATAGCTTGATGTTACCTAGCATCTCTTCCCCATTACCGCAGGAAATTAAATTATTTATTTGTTTTAAACAGAAATAAAGAGTTTAACACAGCTCTACAGATTGCCTAGGGCTAGGTGATGACAAGTAGGCATTCACTCACGTATACTGTGCAGAGATTTGGTTTGACTGCAAATCTGAATCCTGCTCTTCACAGATTTTGGAAAATAAGCATGCACATCACAATTCTGCTTCTGAAATTTTGTTCCAAGAGGTATCTGTGTTTTGCAAGGTGCTGTAGATTGTACTGAAATATACGTGCTTACTCAGAATACCTCGAACGCTAATATGACACAACATACCCTGAGTAAAATTGGTAACATTTGGACTTTTTTTTCCCACAAAATATATTTCCTATTTTAAGGAGTTAATCGCAACTCAGTGCCCATAAGCAGATACACATACATCAATCGCTTTGGGAATACACAAGATGCACAATAGGATCTAAGGTAAAACCACGGCACAAACTTTAGATTATTAAGCTAATTGGTTCATAAAACCACCTACCCACCCCTAAACAAATTGCTTTTCCAAACAAATTTTCCCACCACTAAACAAACTGCTTTTCCAAAATGCTAGGTTCTAGAAGACAAAATCCCAGTAGAAATGTCTCAGGAAAACCTTAACATGCCATGGCAAAGTTACACTGTTTGGCCTTTTTTTGAGAGCAGGAGAGTGAGAGCAGCAGGGAGTAAGGATCCGAGGACAGAGGCAGAACTCTTGGCTATTTACGGACTGGCTTCAGTCTCTGCAGCACCCAACTCTGCCCCCCAGGCTTACAGTGCTGTCCCCTGTTCTGTACAGACATCCCCCAAAAAAGCAATTCCCCTGACACCGTCACCCAAACTCCATTCCTTGCTTTATCTGGGAGGGTGTGACTATTTCATGAATGTTAATCCAACTCTCAAAAATTAATCAGTATCTGCTAGTGCAAGCTAACTCTGTGTGTATCAGGGGTTCCTTTATGCTTCCCATAAAGCACTTGGTAAGTTTTTTCCCCGAAAAACATATTTTCACACTGCCAGCTTGGCGCATCGAGAGCTACCGTCGTTTTTACACCCCTCCCCCCCATATCACTCTGTGCATCCTGAAGAGTTATAGCACCCATCTGCAGCAAGTCTTAAAACTTCTGAGAAAGCTTTAGATTTACGGTAAAGGCGTAATAACCACTCCTGCTATACATGGTACATCCACAGGCTTGAGAAGCCTTTAGCCCTAATACAGATGTATGAGGTGAAACTCTTGCACAGAGAACGGAAGGACCACAGCAGGAAATCCTCCACAAAAATGCCAGATGGCAAGTGCATGGTCCAAGTAAAAAAATAAAAAAAAAGAAAGAAAAAACCAACAACACACCAAAAAACCCAAGACACACATATATCCCGTAAGCCCACAAACATCACACTGCTGCTGTAGGATAAGGAAGTTCAGTCATACAGAAGAGAGATTTCCCTACTCTTTTTATTCTCTTCCATACCCCGCTGCAGTGGGATCTAAGCACCTCCCTTGAGGACCAGGATGGGCCAACAGTCACGGTGAACTGAGAAGGGTTATCATTGTCACCTCTACTATTACAGATAAAATCCAGTTAGCTGTACTTTCTCTTTGCAGTATCTTTTATTTAGTTACTGGCTATAATTTGAATGCAGATATGCCGTCTTGTGTATCTTTGTGCACATCAAGGTTTGTGCGCATCAAGGTTTTGAAGTTTTGTTTTAATTAATAACACGTAATAACCATCACCCAAAAAAAAAAAAAAAGAAAAAGAAAACAAAGGACGGTTGTATTTTTCTGGATCTGTTAAGCCATACACACTTTTAAACTCTCTTAAAAGCCAAAGCTTAAAACCTGACACAGAAGCTTTTATCAGGACTACATATAGAGATGATAGCTCTTCCAAGTTAAGAGAAAGGCCAGAAGAAAAGGCAGAGGGAGAACTCCAATTCCTCAATTATTCTAGTACTTTTTAAAACATTGTGCATTTATGCCCCAAAAGTGAAAAATTTGTTAGTTAGGAATTTCTCATTTCAAACTTTTTCAAATTTACCTGATTCAGACTAAGCAGTGTTTGCTGAGCCATTACAGGGATGCACAAAAATGCCTCTGAAATGGCACACTTGTATCTCAACACAGCATTTGGACTGGAACCTCAGTAAAACTTCTTGAAATTAAACTTTTCAGAATAAACAGGCAAGGCAAGTATATGAACTCACATTATGTAAATCCGTAAATGCAGTTTACTCTGCAACCTTTCATGAATCTATCTTAAGAAGTCAATCATCCAGATAAAAATATGCTCTAAGGTATCACCTGCATAAACGATCATTAGCACTGTATCACAAAGGATTTAACTTCTTTAAAGAGGAAAATTAAAATTAATTTCAAATTCCAGTTTCCCTTACAGGAACAATATAGTAGCAGAAGTGATTATATACCACAACAAAATAATGCATTCACTGCAAAGACAGGCTGTTGCGAAAAACACATCAAGTCCAAATCAATTAACAACTCTGTGTAAAAGGACACACAAAAGTAACATATTAATACAATATTTTGAACCAAATATTTAACTCAGAAGGAAATAAAGCTTGTTTTATTACTAAAATTTCAAGTGTCTGAGGAACACACTATGAATTTATAACCTAGAGAAGCAAATGCATGTAAATGGTGTAATTTACAACAACTTAAGGAAAAAATTAAGAGAAGTTAACTGAGGTAACTAGCCACAAAAAATCACTTCTAAATATCCATTAGATACTTCTTTTTTTAAAAAAACATCACATTCAGTAACTTCATTTAAAAAACTAAACACCAATCCTACTGATGATATGGAGAATTATAAAAGAAGGCAGAAAAAGCAGATAGCTTAAGTAGCAGGAAAAAAAAAATCATGGAATACAAGAGATTAAAAAAAGAAAACTTAAAGGACAAGTTGATATTTAAATTGCACAATGAATACTTCTGGTTTTTAATTCAGTTATAACTTAAGTTCTAGAATTACAGAGGGTTTCTGTTTTCTTTAGTATTTGCTCTAGCTCTACCTTGATATGAACCATAGGAGTTGCAACTTTTGGGGGGGGGGGGGTGTTAGATTCACAAAATTGTTAAATGGGGGGGGATGATGTTATCGTAATGTTGTCCATTCAATGATTTTTAAGATGTTTTTTAAATGTTCCTATTATAAATCCTATAGATTTAACTACAAATGTATATTTGACTCACTATACAGATATATATGGTACACTCCCGATTAACCATACGGCCAACAACTCAGCAAGGTTTTCATTCTTTACTTGGATTAAATAGAGGTCTGCTAAAAAATGGGATTTTACTCTTGTTCACCTTTCTAAAGTGTACATCACCAAGTTGTTAACCTTACAATTAGGAGAAGTTTAGAGAGGACAAGGCAATTAGAAAAGAGGTTAGTAGAAAACCAGAATCTTCTGTCTTCAACACTAAAAGCATGTTCTAAGAGGTAGGACTCAAAAATAACCAGTATGTCAATATATTTTCTTTAACTTTTACACAAATATACAGCAAGAGAACTTTTTGTTAAAACTTCTGATAACGATTAGACAATCAGAGTACAAAAGGAACGCAATGCAGGAAAGATAAGATCATACATAGTATAAAACCCTTAAACGTAAACTGTAGAGTTTAAAGAACCTTCTTTTACAGGCTATGAGTTGTCTTAGACTCAAGAGGAATATGTTGAAGGCAAATTAATAAAAGAAAATAAAATAACAAATCACATAGATCTGACAGTTTTACAACTTAATTTCAATGAAAGCTGTCACACTCACTGGTTGTGATGTTTAATTGCTCTTAAAACAGCAAACAAGCAAACTGACTCTACCTTTTCCTTTTTTGTTTTTTAATAGTTATTGGGAATTTCAGAAACTGATTAGTAAGTCTCACTTGACAAAACAGTGTTAAAGAGAATACAGCATAACCAGAAACAAGATTAATTTATCAGAAGCATGTCACAAATAATGGGATGTCAACAGGTACACATTCTCAAGTTAATAATCCTACTGCTGAGAACAAAGAAATATCCAAAGCATACTAAAAAACTAACTTTCGTCGTGGTGATTCTTGAAGTTGATACCACTAGTTGAGGGAATACTTCTAGACACCAGAGAAAGTCAGTATTTTAATTGTTTTACTCAGTCCTGACAAGGTCTTGGTAGACATTTGTTGAATATTGCATCTCAGCAACTGAGCTACATTCAGCCAACACAAGCCTCAGACCTTTGCTCGAAACCAATGCTCTACGTACTGATGGTTACTTAATGCAAACCACGATTCTCTGTGACTCGGATGTCAAACATTCCCACAAGAATGGGACAAATGTTTTCCAGCCTAAAGTCAGAAAATCCATTTGTCAATACTGCTGCCACTCTGCAACGTCATCACTAGGGTAATTTTTTTGGTGGATAGCAAAAGCAGTTCTTGTAGAGTACCATGAGAACTGTCACTCCTTAACCCTGTACTCTGTCCCTGGCATTAGGTACTTGCTCGCACATTAACAGGAACGAAAGACCACAGAATCTAATGGAGCAGACTGCTAAAAAAGCAATGTGATATTAGAAGTATATGAAGCATAAGCTATAATTTCATAATTACCAGCTTAAACGCTTACAGGTTCAGTGACAGCTCAGCACACATAAGCGAATTTCAAAGGACAGACTTCCTAGAACTTGTCAACTTATTACACATAAGTCAATGAAATAAAACTTACTGGAGTATCAGTGGCACCTCACTGGGGACATTAAATCACTCAGAATTCAATTAAAAAACTCTAAGTGTTTCTCCGTATGGTAAACCTCAAAGTATTTTAGGAAAAAATACCAATTGTGCTTCATAATTATAGGCTTATAGGATCTATACCACTATAAAGCTCCTGTATATAGAGTGGAATGATCACATCACAAAATTTCAACATAAGTAATTAAAGTGGAAGAGGAGGAAAACCACATTGACTTACTTTCTCTGTAGTTACAGTAAGAGATGGAACCAAGGATGGTGAGGACTCCGACTGCTTCTTATATTTTTGCTTGTGTTTATCTTTCTCTTTATATTTCTAGAAGTTATAAAAGAGAACATAACCTAAGTTCAGCTTTATCTTTAACAAAACCTATTTTCCACAGCATCAAGCAGTATCAAAATTTGAGACAGTAATAACATCCTGTGCTACTTCAATGGAAACAGCATTAACGTTTTGAAATTTTTATAATGTTATTTCATAAAAGCAAATCAAGTATTTATATTTGCTTTCAAAGTACACAAATTGAAATTCTTTGATTATAGCCAGCACGCTATATTAATATTATCCCTCTTCACAATAACCAGTTAATCAACAAAACAAAGTGCATTGAAAAACAGATATGGCTTCTGCTTCAGAGGTCTTCCTGTATCTCCCACCAAATATTTCTATCTTCCTGCCTTTCTACACCTGGCACAGTATTTTTTTATGAGATACTACTGTAAATTAATGCAAGGTTTTAGCTTTGGCTTTCCTACTGACATCACCACGCATAAGAATGTGAAACTTGATTTAGATTTCATTCCCAAAAAGGTGCATACAGTTCACACACTAAATAAGTATCTTCCATGTAGAACTCATCAAACTACCAAAAGGTACACAAATCAAGTGTGCTCTCTAAAGAGGTTGAGAACTTAATTATTTTTTTTTAAACACAACATGAGGTATTGGCAATGTGAATGAAACTGAATACCAAAAAAATGCATAAATACAGATTTACACACAGGGTTTAAAATTCCTACTGAATAGGTCGAAAAGATGAGGAAGACAACTTAAAATGTGTAAGCCTGAATAGACATATAAAAACTCTGTAATTGCTTTAAATCTTAAAAATCATCTATTTTGATGTTTCTTTAACTACCAAATTATCCAGACCCTCAAAAGAAAAAATTTATTCAACAAGCAACTGCACAACCACCCTCACCAAGCATCAGGATGAGATGCAATACGTGCACACAGAATCACAGAATGGCCTAAGTCAGAAGGGACCCTAGAGATCACCTAATTCAACCTCCCTGCCATGGGCAGGGATGCCTCTCAACTAGATCAGCCTACTCAAGGCTCTGTCTAACCTGGCCTTGAACACCTCCAGGGAGGGGGCAGCCACAACATCTCTGAGCAATTTATTCCAGAGTCTTGCCACTCTCATACTGGAGAATTTCTTTCTAAGATCCAATCTAAATTTATTCTCCTTCAATTTAAACCCATTTCCCCTTGTTCTATCAGCGGACACTCTTGTAAAAAGTCCCTCTCCAGCCTTCCTCAGGTATTGGAAGGCAACTATTAGGTCCCCCTGGAGTTTTCTCTTCTACAGGCTGAACAATCCCAGCTCCCTCAGCCTGTCCTCATAGCAGAGGTGCTCCAACCCCTGGATCATCTTTGTGGCCCTCCTCTGAACACGCTCCAACAGATGATCTATGTCCCTCTTATCGTACATCAGAACTGGACGCAGTGTTCAAAGTAGGTTCTCACAAGAGCAGGGTAAAGGGGGAGAATCACGTCTCTTGATCTGCTGGCCACACTCCTCTTGATACATCCCAGGATGTGGTTGGCCTTCTGGGCTGCATGAGTGCCCTGCCGGCTCATGTTGAGCTTCCTTCTTGTCTATCAACACCCCCAGGTCCTTCTCTTCAGGGCTACTCTCAAACCACTCTGAATCCAACATACTCTATTCAGGTACCACCAAGTACCAGCTTTCTGTTTCAGTCACAGTGGAAGAAATATCTGCAACTTATTTCATGGGATCAGCCTGACAGAATAAGAGAATGGGTTTTCAAATTCTCCAATAAAGCAGAAATTATTTTATTTATAATCTTGGAGCCAAGAGGCAATTACTTTAACATGCTTTAAGGTGAAACATCACAGCAGTATCAATAAACATTCATTTAAACGTGTTTTGCGATCTCTTCTGTTGACTTTCTAGTGTTCTAGAGTTAAATTTTGTCTGAAAGGCAAAGAAACACAGAATTCTGATCAAAGGAAGAGTCAAGAGGACTTCAAATTACATTCTGTTATGTATTCAAATCACTCTGATAGTAGTCTCAACAGAAAAGGATGTGTCAAAGAGAAGGAAAAAGGGATATAAGAGCAGGGGTAAAGAAGGTGACATAACTAGGAGCCTAGAAAGCACCAGCATCCCAAAATTCCTCTTCCAGATCCAAAACAACACTTAAAGTTTGCCTGGACAGTTGACTAAAGTTACAGTTTACCTCTCAAAGCCACTTGGAGGGATACCTCACCTGAAGGCCTCTTGCATACAAAGATCTCATCCACAGGAGGTCTTAACTGCTGCCCCTTAACGCCACATTCCCTCCTCTTTTTTTCTCTTTTCCTTTCCTTTTTCTTCCTAAGGAAAGTTTGGAAGTCCTACTTCTGAATGTGAATTGACTCCAGATGAAAATAACATCAAAGATGTGGATAACATTTCACTGCAGGAAAACCTTTGAAAGGAAGACTGAAGTTGTACACTGATAAGAATAAAAAGTTCAGCAACAATCTGCTGAGATGAAGAGACTTAGCTCCCACAAAGTGACTCCTTGCAGTTGCACCCTCTTCTCACCATAAAGATGCATATAAAGCATAATAAAGATTTCTCAAATATCCACATTTGGATCCAGAAAAGGAACAACAAAGGGGGCATGAATTCCCACAATTAACAAATACGACAGCTTTCAATCAAGTTTGTCTCGAAGGAAACACAAATTAGCCATCTTCCCTACTGCCAGAAAAAGAACAAACAGGCAGTTGGCCCTTCACAGACAACTCACTGTATGCTTTACTTTTTTAAGACCTCCTCTTATCAGTCACCACTAGAAAAGAAGAAAAAAAAATAAAAAAATACCACAACACAACATAGCAGCAAAATTAACATTCATCCATCCATTCAGAAAGCCACATGGAAGCCTAGGAAAGGTAATGATACAAACGTCTGACCTTTGACAAGCTTTATTGTAAGGAAAAAGAAGGACAGAAATTACTCTTAACAAGGACTGAAAACAATATTGCTAGTAAGTGAAAGCTAAGGGAGCCCCAAGGGCAGGCAGAACCGATGTATCTCATGTTCCAAACACTAGTATTTTAAGATAGTTGCAGAGTTGATAAATGCAATGCTATGTTCTGTAAAAACAAGACTTAGCAGAAAAACATTCCAAGGAAGAACGTGTTAAAAAATACAGTGCCAACTACAAAACTGACAGAGGAAACTTCCACCTTGGCTCACAAATAGCGTAGCTCAACAGACCAGACTCAGGCAGCTCCTGAGACTTTTCTTACTGTAAGAGAAACAAGGCATAATTGCCACATAGCCACTGGAAAAGCAGCTGTAACATTATTCATCCTACAACTTCAAGAGCTTTAATTTATGATGTAGCTAAATACCAATGCAAAATACCTAGAGTTCATATGTCACGATTAATCAAAAAACTTTATTTACCACTAAGGTTCTCATTTTTGGCTTTTGTTTCCTGTCTCAAAAAACTAAGTCATACCTTCTTAATTCACATATCTATATGCTCCAAGACAAGGGAATGAATACACTGCAAGATTTCTGGAATTCTATGGCACCTTCTGTACATTGCCGTCTTGGGGGACAGGGGGTAGAGGGGTGGAGAAGGAAAATAAACCACATTTTGATTGCTTCTATTTCTTTCACAAAGATTCAATTTACAAAATTGTTATGCAATATGATTTCATAAACAAGAGTGGTTCTAACTCTTATGGTTTTTAGCTCATTTACATGTTACATCTCTCCCAAGATCAGCATTTGCTCATTCATTTTCTTTAACATACTTTCAGAAGAAATATTTATCAGACTACTGAATGAAAATATCACCTCACTAAAATACAAAATTAAGGGTACATATCTAATTTTATCTTGGCGCTGGTGTGTTACCATCAGAATAAGTGTTATAAAATGTATCATCCTACAGTTTGGACTTTAGTGTCTGAGAAGACTGAAGAACACAAGCAAATGACAACTTTTCCAGTACGGATGGAATGGATGAGTTCAGCTTTTCTCTAACAGCATTCTTAATTCATTACATTTCTACATGGAAGTATCATTCACCTTCTTGAAGTTACTTCCACTTATTTGTAATTTATTGTTGTCCCGGGAAGACACAGCCTTCTCCAAAAAGGTTTCCAGAGTACTTCATTTCATTGAACTACATCCTGAAGTTCAGCATTGAACAGTTTACTGTTAAAAATGGTGGGGGCGGGGGAGTTTCATGACCCTTCTCTCACCTTTCCCACACCGTTCCGCTTGTCAGACCTTCCGTGTGCCAATTCAAACTGCTAGAACAGCAGCAACAAAAAACAAAGTGGGTAGTTTTCTGCTGTTTTAGTGAGCTAGGTTAGTTAAGTGAAGGAGCGTGAGAGATGGACAGAAGCAGCAACAAGTAGACTTAAGACGCAGAAAGGAGAAGCACGAGCTTACCTGCCCAGAGAACAAGAGACTAACCCATATTTTGGAAGAATTAAAACATGTGCACACAATCAGTAAGCCCCAATGCTCAGTCCTTCAGATAAAACTGCTTTAGCTAACCTTGAATTCCATTTTTTTTCCCCTTCTCTATCGCAAAGTCATAATCCTCCACTATCTTTGGTTGTCCCAAGTTTCCAAACCTTAACAACATTTTCAAATCTATTTTCCTTAGTAAATCTTGTAAGCAAAATCACGTGAATGTCTAAATCACTATTTTTGACTTCCTGTTTGACTCCCCGCTGTTTTTGACTCCCTCAAATAATTCCAACATATCAGAATGTTCTATTAGCACAGAGTACTTAGATTCGCATTTTTGTCGTTTATGGATTTTCTGTACTATCTTTCTGTCACTGAAGCTCATAAATCCAGAGCTGTCACCATCACAACTAATGTCTTTAATAGAAAGCTGCACATAGTTCTTGCTAATCTCCCATACAAGACCGGCTTGGCCTCTTATTTGTGACTAGTAGCTATTAGTAATATAACCATAACAATACCAGAATGAAAGATGCCCACGGTCCACAAGTTTCAAATTTATCTTGTTTTGACAAGAACA